GGAACTAGACAGACACTGCTACGCAGCGCGACCTATAGTGTTGCTGGCGACGCTCGACATTAGGAATGCTTTCAATTCGGCTAGTTGGAAGGATATCTTGGAGGTGCTGAAAAGTAACTTCGGAATCCAGCCATACCTGCTTCGGGTTGTGGACGATTACCTAACAAACAGACGGATAACATACCAGACGATCGAGGGACAAGTAACGAGACAGGTCACCGCTGGGGTGGCACAGGGGTCGATACTGGGACCTGACTTCTGGAATGGCTTATACGATAGCTTGGGATGCCGCTCGGAGTGACTCTCGTCGCCTACGCTGATGATGTGGCGGAGGTGGTTACGGAGAGGTCACCCGAGCTGGCGCAGCTGGCGTTGAACCAGACCATCAGACGAGTCGGACGGTGGATGACAGACCACGGACTACAACTCGCAACGGAAAAAATGGAACTGATGTTTCTCACGAGAAGACGCATACAGACGATACTGCACATGACGGTGGGATCATGCGAAATAGAGACCAAGAGGGAAGTCAAGTACCTTGGGGTAACCCTCGATATACGAAGATGACCTTCTGGCCTCATATACAGAAAACAACCCGGAAAGCGGCAGAGAGGATAGCATCCTTGAGTCGCCTGATGGTAAATACGACGGGACCGAGATCGGGAAAACGACGACTGTTAATGGCGACAGCTTACTCGATCCTTCTATACGGCGTGGAAATATGGGCAGACTCCCTGAAAACAAAAAAATACTGTAAGACGATGATGATGGTACAGAGACAGGGCGCACTGCAAATCGCTTGCTCCTACCTAACAGTCTCTGTGCAGGCTGTTTTGGTGGTGGCTGGCGTAATACCCGTGGATCTTCTGGCCTTTGAACGAAAAAGGATCTACGGGAGTAGCGCGGACATAGAACGACAAAACGCGGCGATCGCCAAGCATGACAGGACAATTGACAAGTGACGAGGCCGATAGATAGAAGAATGAGGTGGTAACTGGAAGAGACGATTGATACGGGACTTGCGGCTGTGGCTCGGAAGGAAATTTGGTGATGTAAATTTCTACGTCACCCAGCTCTTGACGGACCACGGGTTCTTCCGACGGTAGCTCTACAATATGAGCAGACTACGAACACCCGATTGTAAGTACTGTGGACACGAACGAGACGACGCGGAACACACGTTTTTCGCGTGTGACCGCTGGACAAGACTCAGACAGGAACTGGAAGAAACGGCCGGCAGAATCACCCCCGATAACATCTTGGCTCTCATGCTACATGAACCCGAATGGTAGCGCTTAGTCGCTACGTATACGGAAACTATACTGAGACGTAAGAACGCGGACGGCTGCCTGACAGATGACTGAACAGACGAAGTGACGCGACGTAACGAGATACGGAGGAACGACACGAACAGACGAACACAGACAGAACCTCCAGTCAGAAGTAATATTAACATAGTCCCTAGCTGGAGGGAAGGACACCAAGGAGATGGCGGTTTAGTGGGTAGGCCTATTTTTTTTTCGGGGAGTCCCACATAATCCCTTAGTCAGAAAGACTAAGTGGAATCCGCAAAAAGGATTCTTCAACTCTTTGTAAAAAACAAAAAAATAATAATAATAATAATAATAATAATAGGTATAAAATTTTTTCGTAAAAAATTCTATAAGTAGTATTAATGATCATGTACATAATTTCTTGCTTCTGCGCATGTGCAAAAAAAATAAAGATGGCGTTGCTTTATGAGCGTTGCTGTTCATATTTTCATATTTACAAATTACAAATGATTATCAAATAGCAAAAACCTGTTATGTAAAGTGCTTGATGAAACTACCATCAAAGATGAGGTTTGCCTTTTTGAATATTATGTCATAAATGTATACATACGTACAGTGCCTGTTATTCGTTGTAAAAACTATTGAATAATAAAGAAATTATTTCAAAATGGTTTTTCGATACTTCCTGTTGAAGATTTTCTTCAACTATACCCCAAGTATATTGGGACAAATAAAATAATAACAGAGTTTCTATTGATTTTGTGATCATATTGAGTATAGGTACCTAAATGATTGATCCGACCAGAGCTTGATATAGGCCAGGCTGTTTATGTGTAATCGCAAAGTTGTTATGTGTAATCGCAAAATAGCCCGAGAGTAGTTTTTGGAACAGTACTTCAAGAATATGCAAAAGAATCAGTCATGTACGAGGAGCCTTTATTATACATCGTCCTTATAACTGGAAAAATACATGGAAAATGCGTTTTTAATTTTTTTTCGATGTTCCACCTTTTCTAAAAATCTGAAAAAATTCAGGCATATAGAATAAAGTAAAAAATGAACAAAACATATTTTTTCCAGCCTGTTGTTTTTTTTTCGTTTTTTTTTTTAAATAAATTTTAAATATTTCAAACCGATTTAAAAAGTTGAATTTCGCACCAAAAAATTTTTTCGTCCGGATAGATTTGTAAAATTAAAAAAATTCTATAATTTTATTTTTTTATTTTTTTTCTAGCTCAAAAATTGCCCGTATCATCAAGAAACTATTTGTCAGGTTTTTGGGTCTATAGGGCTTCCCTAGGCACCTAGGTGTCTGAAATTTTGGCTAGAAATTTTAGGGTGGGAGGATTTGACCATCTTATCCGGCTAGGCCCTTTATGAAGAAATTGTATTAGCTTTTTACACCAAGAAATTGCTTGAGATGCGCACAAGCATATTCAAAATAAAGTTTGTTTATTAAATAAATAGAATTTGAATAATAATTAGTTAAAGAGTATGCAAATTTGCTCTTTTGTAAATATAAAATCGATGCCTTTTTTGCGAATATATAACATATTATTTATAGATACAGTCGAACCCCCGGCACTTCTCGCTCTCGGGAGTAGCTCGCCCCGGCACTTCTCGGTGAGCGGCAGCCAATCAGAGCGTACGGCCAGGTATGGGCATACTGTAGCTTGCCGCGTGGGCCCTTTGGGGCACTCAAAAATAGTTCAAAATAAGCAGCTGCGCCTTATATTAAACAAAATTCATACGTTAACAACAAACTACAATTAATATGATAGTCAACTGATTTTTGATAATTTAAAAAATTGAACGCAAATAAATTTTATTTATGATTTCTACATATGTATAGGCAATAATTAGTTATTTAATTTCTTTGTAAAACATGAACGAATGAAATACTTCTTTTTTTTAATACCATATTTTTTTATATTTTTGTTACATTTTTATTATAAAAATAAATCGCTAAAAATTTTGTTTATTATAAAAATAAATCGGAAAATTTTTTTTTCTTTAAAAAAATTAAAAGCATCAATTGGTTTGACGAGAAAATCTAAGACATTCTCTATCGCGTTTTTTTTTGTCAGATTCTAATTTGTTAGTGTAAAATCATTATAAAGGGGTTCATAAGTTTAAAATCGGATTATCTGCATCCATAAAACTAAAAGTTTAAAGTCGGATTATCCATACATATTCGGAAATCTATTGAAATTATAAAGAGGGAAGAATAAGCCTTCCAATAAGGCCGTAAGAGACAGAGAGACCCCACTGGTACGCAAGGGGCAGTGTACAGCCCTGCCCCTTGAGAAGTGCCGCGGCGCAACCAGCGACAAGTGCGGGGGCGAAAGAAGTGCCGCAACGAGAAATGCCGGGGGTTCGACTGTAGTTCATAGTTTTTTATATCCCTATAATTTTAGTATAGATTTGGTGTTGGTTGAATAATTTACAGTGTATGTTTTCTATTCAGAACTTTTTTTTACTGATCATTTGCGTTTGAACTTTCATTATTATCAGAAAGACGTATGAATGATATACTCAGCTTCATGCTGATGGAGAATAACTGAAATTAAAAAATTTGCTGTTTTACATTGAATAGCCGATGTTTCTGATTGGATATAAAACATAGTTAAGATTGGGTTAATTATTTTTTTTCAACTTTTCAATGTCAGAGTATACTTATATGAATTTTCTGTTAAGCTTTTCTCAGTGAATATCAATTCATTCATCTAATTCTTCTGGATGAGTTTTCAATTTAAATAGAGTATCATGAACGTTTGTTACTTCTACTGGAAGAATATTCTGAACAGTTTTTAAATTTGCATTTGCGTCATTAGAAAGAACAACAGCACCCAAACTATAGAGTCGTTTATTTTCTTAATATAATGATTCTCTTCTGTAATTTTATATTCTATACTAGATGAACCACGATTTCTCTTAGACCCACCTAGTTTACTTCATAACACTTTTTCGCTCATAGTTAAAATAAATGAAATAATGAAACTACATAATATTGTTGCAACAACTCCTGAAAACGATTTGGAAGGTACAATTATATTTTTTTAGTTGTAAAATTTTTTGTTTCAGAGAATTTTTATTGTACTCCATCTTCATCGATTAAATACTTCTAAAACTATATTGTTCAAAGCATTCCTCATATATCTTATAAATAAAATAAATGCATTTTTTATGAATGAATCAATATCAATGTGTTAAATCTTAGCAATAGCACTAGTTCTCAAGCGCTTTTTAAAAACGCTATCTAACCTATCTACTGTGCACGATCTCTTTATAGTGTCGCTCAAACGATGACGGTAAACTTTATAATTATTTAGTGGTAAGTTAATACATTCTATTTTTCCAATAGTTCTAAGAAGTAATTAATTTTGTGACTCATGAAGTATCTCAAAATTGTTCTTCAAAGTTTACCAAGATAAAACGCAATGTTTTTGACATCTTTTTATTATCTATTAGTTATATACATGTTTAACTTCTTCTAGAATTCGAAAACACTTATTTAAAATTTCCATTTTTCAATAAGCACAACTGAACGATATATTAAATCATTGAACGAATGAAAACTTCGATACTAAATGCTTTATACACATTACGATGAAAGCGGTTGATTAATATTCTTATCAGAAATATATAGCACGTGAGATTACTACTAGTTATTTCTCTCTCCCGTTTTAACACGTAACTATTTTTATCATATTATGTTTCTTCCAGATAGCTGGTCCGCAAGATAGGTAAGGGAGCCGACAGGAGAGAGGGTCACGTGATCTTGACCATGTAGTCACGTATGGGCATGCTTGTGATGATTCTCTTCTTGACAAGCCTAGGAAAGGGACGTGCAACTTTTATTAATTTCTGTCACATGTGGACGTGCGTTTCTTTTCTGACAAGGCGACTCTTCCGATTACGAAACCTGAAAGTTTCAGCGTATCTTTCAGCGACGAATTTAGAGCGTATCGTATGTTGTGTGCTATACCACGCGTGCTGGTATTTTTCCGCTCGCTCCTATCACTCTAAGAAAGCATACCGTACGGCGCCTGCAGCGAAACTTGCTACCACCAGGGCGGTGTAAATGTAAGTACCGGCCGTATACTTATCTCTCTCTCATTCTTTAGCCTATGCGATATCTGTCGGCTAACTATCTACTTTACTGCCACTCAGATTGCCCTCGCTTATTTTCTTATAAAAACCGCATTTGCCTTGACTACGCATTATTTATTTACTTCACCTTCACCTATTACATCACTCTCGCGGTGATACGACCTAATCTTTGCACGTCACGATCTTGGCATTAAACGGCGCAACGCATCAGCCGCCCGCAAGAATAGGAGTATTGTAGAAGAGGTAAGCTGCTGAATAAGACCGGCTCGCTTGCATTTATTTCTCTGTGGGTCGAAACCATTTCTCATTTAACCTTCGAATTTTACATTAATGGGCTACGACGTTGAGTCAAAATCTCGTTATAAACGTTTTATGTAAAAAGAGAGGAAGAAATTTTACAAATACTATTTACTTGAATCTATATTTCATTAGTATACTAACAATTATCCAAATGATAGAAAAATAGAATATTACTACAGGTAATATTCTAACTATCTGTGACACACATGTTTATTAACGCCTACGTCCTATTTTTTTGGACTCAGCACTTTCTACTAACTGCAAGAGTGTTGACTGCCACGCGCCGCGAGTCAACCTCTGCTAATTAATTAACCTGGTTAAGAAACCTGGCGTTGACTATAACAGGGAACTAAACTTAATATAGCTATGTGTAGAGGTTTAAGAGGAAAAAGAATGACCCATTTCCAGTACAAAATGATGATCGTAAGCTTACACCGTTTATGAACATAGTTCGTTCTTAATAATAATTTTACAAACGATCGCAAGTCAGTGCGTTCGTTCGAACTTCCGTTCAGCGTAATGGAGACGAGAGCGAGTTTGCTCAACGCTAATTACAGAGAATAATACGCTAAGTGCGAGAAGGAGAACAGAACTTGAAGCTGATCCATCAGGATGTGGCGGCTCACAAGAGGAAAGGCGACGACGACGGAATCGTAGTCCAGCCGGTAAAGGCTTCCTAGAGATGATCACCATCAATATGGAATTGGCTGTCCCTCGCTGAAATCTGCGGGACCATAAAATTACAGTAGCTGTTGTTGGCCACTGATGGACTGTACTCAAATCCAATTAAAACACCGAACACAAGCCAGGAAGTTCGATTCGCTGCGGTGATACTCGTAATGTGCCAATGTTCCTTGAGCTGATTTTTTAATTCTTTCTCTTCACTTTCTTTGTAGCTCAAGTGATTAAGCGACTTTCTTTCTCTTAGCTCTTGCCTAACTCCTCATTTCTTTTCTTTTTCCCAGCGGACTCTACTTGTTGTCATACGTGTCACTTTTTTCCCACTTCTTATCAGCTGAAATTCTCCGCCGATGCTCTCTCTCTCTCTCTTTCTCTCTCTCTCTCTCTTTCTCTCTCTCTCTCTCTTTCTCTCTCTCTCGTTCTTTTCGCTCTCGTTTTCTTCTTTCGTGGCGTTAACTCGTTAACCGCAACTCTCCCTATTCCAGCCCTGCAATGACATGCATGTAAACTCTGCTAACAGAGTTATACTTGATCACCACATTCTCACAAGGAGATCGCCACGCACAGGGCTAGCGAACTCGCTGTAATCCTGTTACAGTCCCCCACTAAGCCACGAAAGTCGCAGACACTCCTAGGTTACCCATCACCACTTCCATACATACGACTTGCCATAACATTAAGATTGTATACAAACAGAAGAAAAACAAAGAATTATTTTTAATATTAATGTCTAATAATGTCTAATTAACAGGGCTTATACATTTAGCTATCACACACGTCATCTGGAGTTGCATTTCGCGTCAGCGTCCAAACTACGAGTTTGCATGCCTGGCGCTCAACCATCGCAATTTCGTCACGCTATCGTATAAGCAATTGCAATAAACCGCATTTCATGGAGGCATGTACCTTTTAAACTCAAATACATGTGCCACTTGCACTTGCTTCTTATTGTCGGTAGTTAACATGTATATCTCCGGTGAGACTATTTGCAAAATCTATAAGTTCCGAAAATCTTGGGTTTAATTTCGCATTTCTATTCGCGCTTATTCTCGACAACGTATGCACATGCCTCAGCACCAAATCACCCACCGAAATTTCCTTGTCTCGCTATTTCTTCTCATACTAATTCTTTTGACAGTTCTGCGTCTCCTTGACGTGTTCAATCACTAAATCGTATAATGTAATTTCTCTATAGGATTGCTCCAGTCTTTTATAGACAAGCAGACAATTGGCGTCCACGCCTTTATTTCCCGTTAGTTTTTTCACGTGTTGCGATTCGCGGCCGAAATTCAGGGACGGTAGTAAGACTTTCGTACTTGCTTGTATCGTTGTGTTCATAACCTGCCTAAATTCGTGTAAATATTTATCTTAATTTCCGTGGTATTGGTCTACAGAAATTATCATCATTATGTTAAGCATTTTAATCGTTCGTTTAGCGAAATTCGTCTATTGATGGTATGGCAGGTAGAGCATATGTTCGATTTTATTCGCGTCTAGCGTAGTAACAAACACATTCCACATAAATTCTTTCCACTATCCGTGACCAAGTATCTCAGTATTTCCTATTTAAATAGAATAAGTATTTCTACAGCTTGTGCGAGTGTTTTATTTGTAGTCGATACCAAAGGCTCGAATTCTACATATTTTATGAATAAATCTTGAAATACTACAAGATATTTAAATCTATTAGATTCATTTTTCTCATTGGAAAAGTATGGAATAACATTTAAATTAGGACAAATTTCGATTCATTATAATCATGCAAGAGGTCCGGCAAGAATGAAAGTTATTTCAAATGTATACAAATTATTGGCGACGAGCAATTAACGTATAAGTTACATATAATATATCATTTATTTTTATTCTATTACTTCGCTATTGTATTAACTATATTCATTAGTTTATAACTTTTAACTCCGATTTTTACGATAAGTGTAAATTATGCTTAAATTATCTATATTACCTTCTGTATTCATTTTAAACACTTTTACTCGTAGATATATTCGAACAATACAATAGCTAGCCTAGAAATGAAAATTTAAGAATTTTGGAATTTAATATACACTCTATTTAGTTAGTTGCAGTCACCTCCCCACTTTTCAGTATAAGCTACCCATTCCATAGGTTACAGCGTTGCGTACACTAGTTCAGTGTCGCTACAATCGCCTCCCCACATTTCTAGCTGTCCCTTCCATATCTAACAGCACTGATGCCGCTGTGAACAGCGCTACCGCCTGACTTTAAATGTCAGTCCGTTGCAAGAAAGAGCACAGTCCTTTAAGATCGTCTGTAGCCAAAGCTAGTAGTCAACTGTAGTCTATAAAGGCGGTTGCAATCACGACGCTCTCAGGAAGTTCGATTATAATCCGCTTAGCAAAAACATAGATGATGCACATAGTGCACCATATGGCCAGCCTCGCGGCTGGCCAGGTCACTTTGTGCAAAAATCTTTTGTCAAAGTGGTGGACAGTAATAGTCTTCCTCAACAGAGAACGGAGACTCCTCAAACAAACAACTCGTTGTTTTAGAAGAGGATGTCGAAAACTTCTCTCTTTTGTGTACGGGCATATACAAATGCTGAAGTACAAAATGCGTCACCGATTGCCCTCGACAAGTAACTAATGCTAGTCGACCCGAAGTGAATGCAATGTGTATTTTGTTACGTCTCAAGACGTATCTTTACTCATTTACATTCTTTAAAAGTGCAATCCCGAATTTCGTAAAATCAAAACTATATACACGTCCACCAGAAAACGATACGGCAGCAAAACACAAAGACCATACTCAGCATTACACAACACACAATGAACTCAAAAGGAAAATTACTCAACCACACAGAAACATCAGCGATTTATTGAGCACAAATTTATGTATATAAGATGAACCATCCGAAAGGTGAGCAGCAATTATCGTTACTCCGTACACGCCAGTTCGACAATTGACGAATAAACTCTACGTATCGACACTACAGTCGCGTGCAAGCCTGTTCAACAATTTGGCTAACTATTCAATTATTATCTGTCAAACTATATTATTTGATCTCAATAAATACGCGATCCATTAAAAGTGAGAACGTGCAAATTCATTATTGAACCTATCCAAATACCAAGATCTACGATACTGAAAGTACTCTAGAAACTGTAAGTGCAACAAAATAAATAAACACATTCATTCTTATTCATACATCGTATATTATTCATTACTTGTGAGCCTCAATCAGCCACTAGTACTATATTGGTACGTTTCGCACATTTGCTATTCGTAGTTTATGCACGAGACGTAACAATTGGTTCCGGTACAAAATTGGAAAAATCATTCTATTCTTTCAATTCAAAGTGCAAAATCAGAATAAATTACTTTATCTTATCAATTCAAACTTTTCAATATAATCTTCAAGGCATTAATTAACAACAAATTAATAATTTCTAATTTTGAAAGAATTTTTCTTACAAACAAATTACATTTCAATCGTCTTCTCTTGAACTGAAAACACATAATATCAAATTGTGTCATTTCATAAGCGAAAACAGTGTAGTAACTTGATCATCGCGAATAAATGACCTGGTAGAATCTACAACTCAGCAAAATTTTTTTTTTTTTTGGAACTCGAATTGAAATAAGGAAAGAGTAGAGAAAAAGTAGGTCAAAACAACAATTCCTTACTTACTCATATACGAATTTGTTACATATATATATATATATATATATATATATATGCATGCTTATATAATTATATGAATGCCATAATATTATAAATCAAACAATATACGAATCATTTTTCGTGACTCCCTCCTAATAACAGAACTAATTTTAACTATCAATTTTTAGTTTTTTAGTCCACATTATTTTCTTTCGAACTTTCTTATAATTTTCAATACAATCTAAATTCAATACATTTACTTTTCCTTTTCTTTTCTCGAATAAAATGCCCAAATGAGTAAAAAAATTACCCCAACTAGCAGAATAACTTCAAACGACTCGAAGCTTACGCG